GGCTCTGGGAAGGTGCTCTACCGTACGACTCTGTTGGGACTTCTCGAAATGAACCATCTCGAGCGATTAAATTAGGTAAACAGGTACAGGTAAATACAACCATCCTTGTTCACACCCAAGAACGACCTTTAATCTAAGTTGACCCAGAGACAGGAGTGGTATCCGTCCGGGAATCCTCTATAGAAACGTTCTATCACCACGAACTCCACGATCATGCCAAATCCACACTCTCTACGCTTTTTTCAGTAGTTTCAATCGTTATGGCACAACTAACTCTTTGATGAGATCGAGTTTGGAAAATCTCCTTCCATTAGGATTACCCAGAAAGGCATCCACGAGCCCTAGCTCCCCTAGACCCAGCTAATCCACGCCTATATCCCCCGCCACATTCTTCGCTGAGGGGGCTACAAATAGTTCTGTAGATTTGTATTTTTATTATATTTTATATACATAGTTTTACATCTCATCTATTTTATTCCATGCGAATGGGAAAATTCCTGGGATTTTCCGAGGAGTCGCCCACATACCAAGAGCTCATTCCCGCCGCGGAATGTTCTAGAATTTATGAGATCGTCCAACAACCCCGCATGTGACGGCCGTTGGAAGGGCGATTGTTGCGCTTCGATATTGTTGACATTCACGTTGATCAGGAATGAAAGGAACGACGAGATGATGATGATGATGATGCTGACGAAGAGCTGCCGCTGAATAAACAGGAAACACAGCAGATCGCAACGTATTTGCAACGAATCGCCCACGTCGCTCAATTCAATCATTGCAGGGCGACGCTGAACGACAAAGGAACACGAACGTTGTCGGTCGGCTATGTTAGTTTAGTGCCATTTTCCGGATATCGTACCCATGACGAGAACACAAGTGGGCCAACACCCAAACCTGTTCGGCCTATGACATGTACGTGCGAATGTACTGTAGCAACAAGACCTTGGAAAACCTTTGATCAATTGCGCCCAAGCAGGATTCGAACCCGCAACGGTGCTTTCTAGGGACCGTAATTCCCATTGTGACTCACTACACTGAGTACTGTGGCTACTGCGACTTCCCGCTCTTCCTTTTTATCGTCTTTCTAGCGACTTCCCGCTCTTCCTTTTTATCGTCTTTCTAGACCTACCGTCCAAGAAGATGCCTGTTTGAGGGTCAAGCTCGCTTGGGAACGGGCAAAGGGTGATTCACGAAAAAACAAGCTCTTCCGTCTTCTTTCGACGTTCCCTATGAATTTATCAGAAGCCCAATTGCTGCCCCTTTTTCCCATTGGGCAAAAACAGGCTTTGGCATTATGCCAGGGCAATTCAACAGTTGTGACGCTGTTATTATTTGGCTAATTCTATGGAAGTGACTTGTCCGATACCCGATTCAAACAAAAATCGATGTCTCCAATCGATATCGATCTCTGATCCAGAGAAACTCATCGTCGACCATACAAAGGGATTGCTCGGCTCATTCTGAACAACTGAATGACCCAATAATCCCATAGAATACTGGATTGTGAGTCACATTGGTGTTGATGTGAGATTACCCACAAGTCTACTGGTTTTTCACCAGAAAAAGTTGCAATAATCGGGCACAGATCGCCTGGGGATCAAACGATGAACCCTTTTGCGATCACTTTTTTAAGCGTTTGTTCAATCACATGATTAACACCCGATCAAGAGGATTATGAACAAATCGCAGCCCCAGACCTTTTCAGCAATTAGTCACAGCTCACATTTTTGCCGATTCCCTTTTTCGCATGGTTATATAGCGTTATGATTTGCTGGATTACAAAAAAGTGGTGTGGGTGATGGCAGGGACTACTGTCTGGCATGAGACAACTAACTAAGAGAGTCAACAGGGACGTGGCTTACGGCAAGTCAACTAGCTAGGCAATTGTGCACGCTGAGCGGATCCCGGATTCTGCCATGGATCTTACAGGATTCAAGACTTGGAGTGGGAAAGCTGAGAAGAAGCAGCCCCAACCAGAAAAACGAAAAAAATGGCGGACAAAGGGGAGCAGGTATCCGGAAAATTGGTAAAGTATGAAATGGTCATCTAGGGAGTTATTGCGTGGGATGATTTACGGTTCGACGACTTTTTAGGGCCTGTTGACCTGTTGATCTGTTTGAAAGGGGTGCTAGCAAATGCAAGTTTTCACTCTCCCAGACAGGACGTTTACCAACTTACCTATACCGGACCCACAAACCTCTTGTTGGACTTTTACAATCCGATATGATACTCGAACAATGTGTGTGGTAGTGGCAGCACCCCCATAGCCATGCCTTGGCGCAAAAATGGTCATAACCAGGGAAACAGAAGTAGGGTTCCTTGGGAAAAGTTGATTTCACAGCCAGAAAAAAAGGTGAAGGGCGAGCACAACTGAGAAGAGGTCACCCTTGACGATTCTCTCTGTCGTAGCTTAAGACACGCGATAGCCGACACAAAAATTTCTCGACCAGACCTAGACCAAGCAAACATTAAAGTGCACGGGACGTAGCAAAACAATGTCTCGTTTCCCCCTGCTTATTATTGAGAGAGTTGCTTTGCACGTGGAATTTATTATTACATCCGTAACTCCTAGTCCTTTCCCGTTCAAGAGCTTCCGATTGGGTGGATGAACCGCCCAAATCCGTGTTCTACTTCCTGGACCGTAAGGAGGAAAAAGCTGAATGCGTCCGCCCTTACCGAGATCCTTCCTTCTAATTTTCCAGGAACAACAGTATGGCAAGGTCTCAACCGGAAAACCGGGGAAAAGTTTTGATTGAAACTTGAGGTAGCCTGTTCGGAAATTCCAAGACCAGCCGGATCCTCGGTACTTCGAAATCTCCCAAAGCTAGCTCCATTACTTCGAGATTTCTGCAGATTGCATACCGTTTTCGCCACTTGGATTGGCGAAATGGAAGGAAAACCCATATAAAAGAAAATTTGGTTCAAAGATCACATTAGGTAGATGTGAAGACTCAATGGAGGCCTATTGACAGCATTCATGATAAATGGGCGGAGCATTCCCCAATGGGCGGAGCTTCAGCACTGGATCGCGTTTTGATCAAATAGAGGGAAACATTACGTGATACTGTAACGAGTGCCGACCGCCGACTGCTATTTGAGAAAGGTATTGAGTAGTAGTTTTTTTGAACCAATAGTGGGGTCTAAAAATGGGCTACAAGGATTTTCTGAGCATGGTTCCTCCCAATAAATGACTTTTCAGTTTTGAATTGTATCATAACATACCGATTTCGGCTTGTGGTGCTACACAACAGCACAGACTCTGAACTAATCGACCCCATCGCGGTTTTTGTCGAGCTGGCCGCTTTTCTCCTGAAAATTTGATTAAATCAAATTAGGGGAAATACATAAACAAGAAGCCACTTTCATTCTCTGACACTCATCTCTTTTCCCCCACATTTTCTCGCCTTAACTTTATTTCAGTTTCATTCTAATTCAGACTCGCACTTTTTCGATCTGGGCTTCTACCCAATGGGATCACACACTCCTCTGAACAGCATTCAGTAGTCTCTTTCTGGGCATTTTGCAAATTCTCTCTGCATTTTTCGAATTCACTCTAATCATATTCATAGAACAGCCATATTAATTTATAAATAGCAAGTTGTTTTTGTTGTCGGATTATTTATTTTTCATGTAAAATACTAGTCATTCTTTTGTCACCCAATGAATTCTGCTTGGCCTATTCTACTAATTACTATCAGACAGCAAAACCACCTCTCTAAATAATCTCCGGGATGCGCCAAGTCTACGATTTCCTTCCAGAATTCTTTTATTGCGATGAAATTCCCTATGGTAGCGCTGGTTCTATAGTTAGGCTACTTGGGTATATTTTGTTGACAATAAGAAAGTCGCGAGAACATGGGAAATCCAATTTGCCCATGCGCTACTCAGAGAAGAACAAGAACGAAGCATACAACTACTTTCTCTTTTTGCCTCGACCTCCTTACAATATCTGCTACCCACATTATTTCCTCCCAGTTCAGGAAATTCGAGAAAATACAAGAATTCCGAAACATTGGCTGAAAAGATTCCCGAAATAAGAAAACCTGGGGACCATGACAAGCGACCAAACAGTTTACAAACTTTTATGGTCCAATAAAACCTACAAAAGGATCTTGAAGCTTTTAGACGAATATTCTCCTCCAAGAAGGCCTAAAAACACGTACTGGGACAGTCTGAATGGTTTTTGGACGTGTTCAGAACTTTTGCTGATGTCTCCCACTCGAGTGGTCCTTGATGAGATCATTTATCCAATCAGGAACGGAAAAATCTTTTGACGAAGTTTGGAGTTAGTTTGGAGGTAAACTCGCTGACCCATTTACCTACAACCGGCTACTTCTCAACGTCCAGTAAGCACTGACACAAAGGTCGCAAGAAATTTCTGAGAAAAATGACCATTTTGTGTCGTGTAGTCACAGCCAGGACAACGAGAAGTACGGGGAGGAACCCCATTTCATGAAAAAGGTACACGAATTCTCCCCTTTCCTCCATAAATTTCGGTTCCAATATAGTATTTTACCCATATGGGAGGAGCACATTGAACCAAACTGATGCCTATTTTACCTAACTGTAATTTACGATCTCAAACCTGTTTATTTATTACGATACCCCGCACTTTCTAAATTGCCTATTACAACCACCACCAAAAGACGATTTCTCCTAGCGAGCATAGCTGACATGGCGGACGTGGGGCTAAGCGAAAGGAACCGATAGAATGGTTTTGTAACAACACGAGTTTCACTGCTGTAAGGATGTTCATAAACTGAAATTCCCCCCTGAAAAACGAGGTTTCAGTCTTGACGTCTTTATGGCGGCTGTAAAACTTTGCCTCGCCTCCCTTTGTGCTAGCCGAATCCACAACAAATTGAAAAACTCTTTTACAAAGTTACTAGCCAGCCGGTTGAAATCATTTCTTACTGTAAAAAGTTCACGTCTGCAAAAATGCGTCTTACAATCGTTTTAAACGTAAAAGATAGATATTGATTTCTTGACATTCTCGAGCACCCACATCGACTCAACCAAAGGACTCTACCGCCACTCACACGACAAAAAACGTCTACGCATAAAAAATCAGTAGTGGGACGGAAAGGACGGTACTACCCGACGTGGGAGCCCCAGAGGAGGTTTTTCCCAGCATAAAAAATTAAAACCCCCTTCAGTAGCCGTGTGTCGCCGGAACTGGAGCAAAAAATCGGTTGACTACTGGTTATTCAAAAGTAAAAAAATCATTGGACCAGCACTAACACTTCTCAAAATCTAAGTGTAAGTAGCTATTCATGCTCAACTGAATTCACCGGAACAAGAACTCACACTCAGAACCAAGCGGAAAACATAAAAAACACCAATTTCAGTAATAAAATCAACAACCCATGCAAGTACGAATTGAGAGAGCACCCACCACAAGCAGGACTGACTGATGGATAGCTTCTGGTCGCAATAGGCCGTAGCTCACGAAGAGGATCCGTTTGCACTGACCAGATAAGTGGTTGCGCTCGTTTTGGTCCATAACCGACTTCAGTACGCTGCTGATTCAGATGCCCATTAACGATACCGACACCGATAGGTCTTCCTGGATCTTCCTTGAGTCGAAGTAATGCCTGTGACGCTACGGTCATAGGTGCTGCAGTGGTTGTCGTCACTGGACTGGTCGTGGGCACATTATGATAGATGGGAATCGACGACGAGATAGTCGTTGGGACATTCCGTGGTTTGATCTGTGCCGGTTGTGGTGGTGGTGGGATCGACAACGGGAACGGGGCAGGTCGTTGTGGTGTACGGGGTTTTTGCTGTGCATAGATAGTGTCCATACCGTAAAAAGGATTAGCCGACGGATTCCAGTAATATGTCACACCCTGCTGATCTTTCGCCTTTTGCCAATAGTCCAAGCTGTTCTTCGGACCAAGCGGTTGGCGGTACTGAGTGGATGACGGCGGTGGTGGGTTCTGCTTTGTACCGTTCATCGTGGCGTATCGACGTCGGCTATCCATCGTTTCAACAGCGAATGTCATCAGAAGAGGTAGATGGGAATAGAATCGGCTTCAGAATAAGGGTGACCTTCGCCTTGACGTCGTCGTCGTCGTCGTCGTCGATGCGTAGCGCAATCCGGGCCCTCGCTCCGGAGGTGAACTGGCTGTGCAAACAGATCAACCGGTACTTGATGGCGTGCAAGTGTATCGGGGGTGCGTGTGGAGATGATCGACGAGTGGCGTATGTGTGTGTGTGGCAGAGAGCAAGCAGTACGCTGGCACAGGCGATCAATACGGATCGATTATCGACCAATCGATAACAATAGCACAGACGAAGGCGAAGGGGTTCTGGAACGGATCACGTTGACGAGGGGGATTGATAACAACGACGGCAAAAGAAGTGTGAGCTGCGAGCACGAACGCGACCAACCGAGCAGAAAACAGCCAGCCGAGCCGCCAACTGACAATGCGCTAGCGAGAGGCGGTAAGACGGTGGCGGTGGCGGTGGCGGCGGCGTCGGCAGCGGTGGCTGGCAGTTGCATGACTCAACGCCGACAGCCAGTAGAGTGGTGGTGACGGCATATTCAGACGCAGCCAACGCCACAGCCGTCGGTCGCTGCCCCACCATCGCCATTGACGACAACGAAAACAGCTGGGAAACACGTGCAGGCATTTATGCGTTATGATTAATGCTGCGTCGAGGGACCAAAGTGAAAGAGAAAACGATGATAAAGAAATGTTTGCACAAAAAAATCTATAGGGAGACAGTGATGAATTGATGAGTATGAGGAAGAAAAAAAAAGCGGATGACAGGTGAGTGGATGGACTGAACAAACGGAGGAGAATAGATGTGGTAGTCCTGAGAAGAAGCCACCTTTGATTTTTTTTTT